AACGGAGTACGGAAATCAATACAAACGGAGACGTAACAATACATATTTATGCTAATTTAAATCTAGCTGCTCATGCAGTGATGATGATGATTTGTTGACTTTTCACTGGATGTTTATGTGAACAGCTATATTTCATGCCAAATTGCTTCCAGATTTAATCTCATAGTACCTATTTTTTACATAGCATTAGCATGCTGAATGTGTTTGCACAGTTATGTGTTGGCTTTTAACCTTACAAATTAGAACCCCCTTTCAAACATTAAAAGTCGTATTTTGTACTTCATCACTTATTTCGTGTTGTACCTTTTGTCTGGTTGGATAACATCATTTCAAAATGACAGAAATTATTAGAAAACAACAACCTTACAAACATACCTGACCAAGAAACAAAAGAGAAAAATATATTTTCAAAACAAAAACATGATGTACTTCATCACTTATTTCGTGCTGTACCTTTTGTCTGGTTGGATAACATCATTTCAAAATGGCAGAAATTATTAGAAAACAACAACCTTACAAACATACCTGACCAAGAAACAAAAGAGAAAAATATATTTTCAAAACAAAAACATGATGTAGTTCGAACTTTGATGACTCCTCACGTTCTAATTTGTTGTTGTTATCTTCACATACCTTTATTCAATTTGGTTTGTTTCAGAAAGCACAATCACAGTGGGCCACCTACTGTGGACACAGCAGGTAACGGAGTTTAAATATTACAATTGTAAGTACGTATAATAATATGTTTAGATACACTATTTTGTCACGCTTGGAAATCTTCTTTGTGAAATAAAATGTTTAGTTACTATTGGAGATCTATGTGAAATTCACTGCTATTTGTTATATTATTTGGAAACTTACTGTTGTTTATTATAATATTGGGTTATTCACTACTGTTTTTTTTATTATATTATGTAATTTACTGCCATTTTTATACTATATTTTAAAATATACATTCTGTTCGTTTCTTTAATGCTCTTACATACGTCTTGTGAACATTTTTTTTTGTTCTCGAAGGCTTTGTTTTCTGATAACCCTCTCGTACGTACCACACATCTCTGTAATTTACCGCTAGAAACCAGGTGCTGGGAATGAAGTTCGCATTAAATTAAACATTAAAACCCTCCTCTGGAGAAGTAAAACGTGACTGCACTGATATAACGCTATGTTACTTCTGTAACAGAAACTTTTGAGACCTCTTGAAGAATTATATATACAATATCTCTGATTTCTTTGTCATTTATTCTTACGATAAATACGACTTGATGACACAAATTTAGGATTTTGAAAAGACAGCCTAGACTTTAATAAAATAATTTCATTTTCCTAACAGTATGACTGATTCACGGAATGAGTGAGTTCGGCATTACTGGAGTCTAAAATTTTACAGGAGTTTAAAAGAAGAGTTATTTCCAAAAAGAAGTAAAAAATGAAGGAGTAGGTTAGAATTTTTACTTTTCTCAACCATGAAGGGCCAATAGTCCCTTGCACTTTTTCTTCCAGTTAACAGTTTTATGGTCCATTATTAAGTGCACATATTTCCTGTTTATGAGACGTCATGTTCAGTCCCCCCCCCCCCCACGAGGTGGTTATGGCACAATCTGTGGGTCGCGTGTTCGAATCTCCGTCCCACCGAACATGCTCGCCCTCTCAGCCATGAGGGCATTATAATGTGAAGGTCAATCTCACTATTCGTTGGTAAAAGAGTAGCCTAAGAGTCGGCGGTGATTGGTGATGACTAGCTGTCTTCCCTCTCATTGCTAAATTAGGGACGGCTAGCGCAGATAGTCGTCGTGTAGCTTTGAGCGAAATTAGAAAACAACAACAAAAACATGTGCCCCCTCCCCCGAATAGTTTTTGGAATGAAGTGATCCAAGGCGGAGTTAGTTCTAAACATTTATGAGTGAAAACAGAGTAAAATATGCTATAATATGCCAACCAAACTACAATGTTCACACATTCCGTACACATTTCTTTGCCGCTCTCTTGTGGGTAGTGAGCCCCGTGAATATATCCACATCATCACCACCCTCGTAGCATTTTGTAGGCGATTAACTCAAAAGGATCATCGTTATATTTATGTTGAGATTTAGCTTACTAATCAACATTTCTGTTGTTTAAATATACATGTTATGTAGGATTAAAAGCTCTCTAACAATAATTGATTATATAAATACAACCAATTGAAAGGCTGATTCAAACAACCTATCCATAACATCTAGACACAGCCAAACTGAGGGTAATAATATCACAAGAACGAGCTAACTTGTGAAACATTAAACATCAAAACATTACCTCAACACGCCATGTAACTCGTTGTTTTTCACCCATCTTCCCGAGGACACTGTCTAGCCTACAAAACAATGGCGACTTCCAACTGTATGACGACACTTGCCATGATCGAAGAAATAACTAACTCCACTAGACACATGTGTATCAGTACAACATTTTAATAATGAAATAACCACCGCTTGTTGCTATGGTATCCAGTTGTCACACTAAATGTCCATCTATCACACTACGGGCAATAACTGCCACTGATTTAAATAATTACGATTAATTAACACCGAAGTCCGTGTTCCCGTTTTTGATCGAGTAACATGTTAGCAATTACACAGTTCATTAATACTCAAGAGATTGATAATATAGAAAAGAACGAATTTATCGAACTAGAATAATTAAGCATGAGGTTACAACAACGAACTCAGATCAAAAACAAAACTTAAACCTAACATGACACCCATGAAAGATTTTTTCAATGTTTAAATGAAAAACGTTTTACTTTAGTACATTCTTGATTAACATTTCCTGGACTCCAAAATCAGTTTCTCTCTTGAAATGAAACTTATCAGCAGAAAACTCTTAGAACTTAAATAATACAATTCTAAAAATATTTACTTTGATAAGTTCAAATAAATGAACATTATTGACTAGTAAGTTTCATTTTTATCATTTCTTACCGAAATAAAACAAGCTCATTATAACAATTATTCAAAATAAATTTCGTTTTACACTTACATTTCGAGTAACCAAAATGAGTTGTTTTTACTTTTAGTACAAAGCCATATAATGGGTTAACTCCAGAATTTAGCATTGTAAATCCATGAACTTACTGCTTCGGGGGGTAGGGGGAAAACAACCAAAAGAAAGTACAAACTTTACAGTAGTGAGGCATACAAACATTTCTTGCATGTACATACATACATACATAAATATATATATATATATACCAGCCATAGTTAACACCAACCACAGCTGTACACTAGTGGCAAGAGCCACATCTATTAACTATCAGCCACAGCAATCATTAACCACATATAACACCAACCACAGCTATTAACAACAGACCACATTTATAATCAGAGTTTGAGAGTAAGGAATTAACACTACACTACTTAAGTAATTTTTATGGGATTTACTCTCACTTAAATACTCTAAAAATTATTTTACTTTTAAAATCACGAAACAATTATCTACTTTTACTCCACTACATTTCTTTTATAAAACTGTCTTTACATTTGGAAAAAAATTTGAGAAAAATCACACTGGTTTCCATGGTGATAGTTTTTGTTTACATCAATCAGAGCATGCCTAATCTTTGAAATAATACAATGACAAACAATGGTATTTGCAGTGATGCTGGAACAAAACACAGCCATTTTACATCTAGTGTTGACTGTTATAACTTCATCCCACTGTGATCATCCATGGCCTTATTTAAAATATGTATTTTCAAAACATTTGTTTAGTTCTGTAGGGCTCTTGTTCACACTGAGATGAGCTAATCTGTCTTGTAGCATGCAAACATTTGTTTAGTTCTGTAGGGCTCTTGTTCACACTGAGATGAGCTAATCTGTCTTGTAGCATGCAAACATTTGTTTAGTTCTGTAGGGCTCTTGTTCACACTGAGATGAGCTAATCTGTCTTGTAGGAACTTTGAAAACC